TTATAAATTTAGCAAATTATATGTATATGAATATCTAATATGGAAATACCTTGTCAACTCCTCTTTTGCAATCATTGTAATCCAAGATTATTTGAGGCTTCTTGTCCTCCCTGTCGCTTACCATCGCCTCCTTGTGGCAGGTGCTCATTAGTAGTACATTTTTGCCTTTTTTGGGACAATAGGATACAAGCCAATGTGTCTCACTGAAGGCAAAGAGAGAAGAAAAGCGAGCGATCTCTGCCTTTTGTGGAGAGAAGAGCAGGTGGAAGCTCAGGTTTGTTTTTTCGTATTGTCCCAACCATTGTTAGCTGTTTTTTTAGGAGCTCCTGGCCAAGGGCATGTGACGTGAAAAAATAGTCACAGGTAATTGTGTGGCCCTGAAGACCAGCGGTCAAGTCGAGGACCACGCGCATACCCTGGTTTTTTTCAGGCTCTTCATCCAGAGGCTTCCCTGTGCATATTCCACGCATAACTGCTTGTGGAATCACATGCAGCCCAGATTTTGATCCCGTACTTCGCAGGTTTGCTTGAATGTACTGCTTGAAAGCACATCTTCCTCTGAATGGAATCAAACATTTGTGCCTGGGTTATACATCATAGGGAGACGCTCAACCCACAGATCCCAGATTTCACGAATTGCAGCATGCTTGTCAGTCTCACGCCGACCTCTTCTTGTGTCCTTGTTATCAAATCGGATCATTCTTGTCAATGCTGTGAATTTATCCAGGGACATGACAGCCCGAAAAATTGCATCCAAAAGGCTTGTCAAGGCCTCATTGCGTGAGCGATAAACACAAAAAAAGCTTCCAGCTCTGTCCAATCTACATCCTTCCAGCTGTCACCATACACTCTCTTGCCTTCCAAATTAGTAATTTCAATCAAGATCTCCTGGATTGAAGTTGGAAAAAATAATTAAAAGGCAAACTTTATGTCATCGGCGTGGGAGCAAGCATACCTTGTCGGTCCTGGGGTTAGTTTGATGATTCTTGATGCTGAAGCTCGTCCTGCGCCTCTGTCTCAACTGTACAACGTGACGTAGCCTACACATCACACGTTAAGCAATAGGTACGGGACACTGCAATTCACAAAAGTTCATTATTTGCATAAGCCTTGCCGGTTAAACATTTAATTCACGCGCTGTTCTAACGTGCGGTTTCCTGAGCGCGCGGCATAAGTTAACCCCGACGCTCACAGGCACTTAGAAGCCTGTCAAACAGCGCCTGAATACTGGACTAAGTTATCTTTCGAGTCTTATTATGCTAAAATTGTTAAATACACACAATATTTACATAAACAGAATCGGCTATGTCTAAAGTGAAAGCAAACATTTGAGAGAAAATCTGGTGTAATATGCGTCTATATTAAACACGTCGCGTGCTAGTCTAATAAAAGCGAGAGTCCTATTCGTATTTTCCGCACTATAAAGCGCACTTAAAAGCCTTTAATTTTCTCAATCCGGCCTTTTCTCAAGCTTTATAATCCGGAGCGCATTATATATGGATCAATTGCTCGCGCTCGTGTCCATCTTATGTCCGCTTCGTCACACGGCCAGTTCAACCTCGTAATCGGGTTATGTGTGTCTCCCGCTCACGAGCGCTCTCTCTTAACACACACGAACAGACACACTGTCCCCGGTGCTGCTCGCGCGTCACAGAATGTGCATAAAGCGCTCCCCCGTTCACAGTAATCGGGTCGTCTCATTCAACAGTTGTTGCTGTCAGCGAGTCAGGCTGCGAATGTAAGTTACGTGTCCGCCCCAGCGCGCTCACCCTTACTAAATAAACGCCTCACCTCCGACGCCGCGCACTCGCTGCATTCCCTTTAGCACATCTAATGGATGCATAACGCAAACCCAGTCAAACGTTTGAAAAATGTTCTAAAATAGGTCATTGAAGGTGCGCCTTATAGTGCTTATAGTATATAGTACTGCCACTTGTACTTAAAGGGATAGTTCACAAAAAAATATCTATATATATGTCATAATTTTTTTTCCGACTAGTCGACTAAGGTCAACAGCGCCAACTAGTGGTTGTGACAGTCGACTAGTTGATGAAACCCCTAATAAATATATATATATATATATATATATATATATATATATATATTCAATAAATAGAAATATATATTTGTTGTGGATGCAATGCTTTTGAACACTTTCCTGCTGGCATGCTGTGTTTTAACTAGAGATAATTGCTTATCATGATAACAGCAGATTGTCTGAGAAAATAGTTCCATGCAAATAATGCACAACCATGTCCATCTGTTTCCATTAAAAATATAAATTAATTAAAAATACTATTTGGTCAGTGGAAAAGATTGCGAAAATCTTTCTCTGAAATGTATATTTTACACTATTTGATTCATTTATTCAAAAACAAGGCAAGGATAAAGGCTACTAAAAAATAATAATAATTTGTGACACGGCACATCTGTATTTCAGATTTTCCTAACGTCTTGTACCTTAACATTGTATCACGTGGATGAATAATCATATGCAAATGATATGCAGATGAGGATATGCATATTTAAACTAGGCGTTGTAAGCTCCATATATGGTTATTTCGGGGAGGAGACGCATGTGCGCACAACCTTCCGTTGACTGGGATTTATAAAAGTGAATTCTGCGCAGGTTCTGGCGTACAAACTATTTTATAAATCTGAATATTTTTTGGCATACACCATTTTTGGCTTTCGGCGCACGTACACTTTTAGTAAGGATCCTACGCACAGTTTTATAAATGAGACCCCAGGTCTGCCCCAAAAACTTTTCCAATTTTCTATGAACCCTATTGTTATTCTGCGACACCATTTAGACAGCCAGCCATTGAGTGAGGACAGTCTACTAACTATCTCATCAATTATATGCTGTATTTATCGGTGCAAGATTAGATGTTGATGCCGTTTGATAAACTACATCACAATAATCAAAAGACGGAAGTATTAAATGAAAAACAATTTACTTACAAACACTATAAGAAAAACAATTTCAAGATTGATGCAAGATACTCATTCAAACATTGACTTTATGTAAAACATGATTAATGTGTGTGTTTTAAATGAAAATTTAGAATCAAAACACAAGAACAGGTTTTGGAATTAAGTTTCTGTCTATCACTAAAGTCATATACTAATACTATGATTTTAGGTTCTAGTGATAGCACTAATTTGTTAGCCAAAAGCCAAATCCGAATGAAGAGATAATTGAATTTGTAAAGAACTAGAATTAGATGCATAAATGACAGTATCATCTGCATAAAGTTGAACTTGACAGTTTTTGAGAAGTAATGGTAGATTATTTACATAAACAGAAAAAAGAAGTGGTCCCAGACTTGAACCTGGAGGCACACCTCATTGTTGGATCAGAAGATCAGATTTATTCCCATTAAGGACAACACATTGGATGGGAGGGTGTTTTGAAGGAGGAGAAGGATATGGTGAAACAATGCAGGGAGGCAGAATAGAGGGAGGCGCAATCGGAGGATCGATGGTGCAGAGTGACAGCGACGAGGGTCGCAGGTGGAGCCAGAGTACCCGAGGACTGGGGTGACTGTGGTGAAATCAAGGACAGAGGTGATGCCGTAGGGATGAAGGAGCTGCTAAAGCCATAGGGGAGAAGGGATGAGGCATAGAGGATGGCCCATATGTCTGTGGCGTAAGTGGAGCGACGACTGACCAAGGGTGAGCCGGTGGATTGAGGGAACCCAGTGGAGTCACTAGGCAGAGGCTCCATGGAGGAGCCAGGATAGAGCCGGCAGGTCCACGGGCCAAGATGGAACAAGAGAAACTGAGACCAGAGGCAGTGATGCAGATGATTGCACAAACTGCGGCTCGACGTTCCAGCAGGGCATGTCATGTAGCAGCGGCCGGGCTGGAGGACTGGCTGAGCTCTGAGAAGATTGTGATATCAGACGGGACCGGATGATGGGGAGTAGGGTACATTCCACACAAATCAAAGAAAAGAATAAATCACCATCCATATCATTCATAAAGCTATCTTTAAATATCGATTAGATCATGGTTGGCTTGGCTTGGGTGGGAGAAAATGATACAGGGTATCATTCAGGGTATGATACATGGGTGGGCTTGGGGGGTATTGGGTGGGAGTAGATTCCTCTTCACAGCAGCCAGTCCTCAGCCGTTGATGTCGCAGGCTCACACCCCTGGTCAGACTTGCTTTGTGGCTCAGATGGTGAGCACCGCCCTCTTGTCCTCGGGCTTTGGCTCATGTGTCACAGTGGGTGGTCCCACAACCTCTGCGGTGTGCTCTCATGCATTCTCCTCGGTGCAGGAGAAGGAACAACTTATGTAGTGAACACAAACGAGGATAATTACTTAAACACAGCTGACACATACAAATTTATAATGGTGGTAACTATGGAGACAGATGAATGGTGGGAATCAGAACAAGGAAACATGATAAATTAAATCTGAAAGTCCATTAACAAAATTAAACAGAATGGTGTCATATTAAACAAGATACTAGCTAGACATGTGATCTGTGCAGGAAGAAGTGCACATACCTTGTAGGAAAGCTTACTTTGACCAAGGAGAGCAACTTACAAAGTGCAATCCTATAGTTTTTTAGAATATCAGACTTGCATTGTTTTGCTTTTGTACAGTAAAAACCCAATTTAATGTTTTTTGAAAATTTGACGCCATTCTTCTCATTAAATCCCTCCCACGTGCAGCAAAGGTAAACCCGCTGACTGATCCTGCTAGATTTGTGTTAGGACGAGTGGGATCCTTATCCAGGGCTCTACTGTGAGTTTTTATAAGGGCTTTGATAACTGACAGCTTGAAGTATAAGAGACGCGTCCTAAAGAAAGCAAAGAATTTTGACATTCAAAACATTTTGACATTCAAAACAAGAAGACATTTAGAGATTACAGGTTTCACATGTTTCATTTGTTTTCTGGGTATAGGATCTAGTATACTTGTTGGATTTGATGTTTTACATGTCAAAATAGTATAACTTTTTTTTAAATGTCTTTTCACCTTAGGCTTGATGGAGCTGAAAGAGGAGAGTCAAAAACTGAAAGAAATGGAAGAGAAAGATCAGAATGAGAAATCTTTTTCAGTGGAAAGATCTTACTCACAGACACATGAAACAGAAAACAGAAACCTTCAGATGAGAGTTCACACTGGAGAGAAGCCTTTCACCTGCCAACAGTGTGGAAAGAGTTTCAATCGAAAACAAACTCTCAATGCCCACTTGAAAATCCACACTGGAGAGAAGTCGGCTGTATGTCCTCAGTGTGGAAAGAGATTCACAAAGAAAAAAACCCTTCAAGTCCACATGAGAGTTCACACTGGAGAGAGCTCTTTGACCTGCCAACAGTGTGGAAAGAGTTTCAATCGAAAAGACGGCCTTAAAGTCCACTTGAACATCCACACTGGAGAGAAGCCGTTCATATGCCCTCAGTGTGGAAAGAGATTCACACAGAAAAAAAACCTTATAGTCCATTTAGACATCCACACTGGAAAGAAGCCGTTCATATGCACTCAGTGTGGAAAGAGATTCACACAGAAAAAAAACCATGATGCCCACTTGAGAGTTCACACTGGAGAGAAGCCTTACACCTGCCAACAGTGTGGGAAGAGCTTCTCACTACAAGGAAACCTTAAGATTCACATGAGAATTCACACAGGAGAGAAGCCATTCACATGCTCTCAGTGTGGGAAGAGTTTTAAACAAAAAAAAGAACTTGATGTCCACATAATAAATCACACTGGAGAGAGGCCATACACTTGCAAACTGTGTGGAAAGAGCTTAAAAGATAAATCATACCTCAATCATCACATGAGAATTCACACTGGAGAAAAGCCTTTCACCTGTCCTCAGTGTGGAAGGAGCTTCACAGTTAAAGGAAGTCTTAAGATGCACATAAGGGTTCACACTGGAGAGAAGCCGTACAAGTGTCTGCAGTGTGAGAAGAGTTTCTCGTATCACTCAAACCTGAAACGGCATTTGGAAACTCATTCTGGAAAGAAACTGCCCTTTTCCTCAGTGTGACGAGGTTGAGAAAGAGTAGCAATTTCAGCAATCATCTGTGCATTCACTCTGGAGAAAGACAATTCCATAGTTATTAGTGTAATAAAAACGTCACACTTACAAATACATATACAGCAAAACTTCAAATAATAGCTGAGTCCCAAATAGACGCCTGTCTCTTTTACACGCCTGGTGTGGATAAATAAAGGCCAGTCTCAAATAGAGGACCGGTCTGTTTTTTATTTTCGGGTTGTATTTAATCTTCTAAAACCTGTCAGATTGTCTGTTTAAAGGAACACTCCAACTTTTTGGGACTTTAGCCTATTCACCTTACCCCCCAGAGTTAGATAAGTCCATACATACCTTTTTCATCTCCGTGCGTGCTATAAGTCTGTTTGACACACCCACCGCTAGCCTAGCTTAGCACAAAGACTGGATGTGAATGGTTGCAGCTTTCATACTAATCCAAATGAGTGGCAAAATAACGCAAACGTTTTCCTATTTACATGTTGTGATTTGTATAGTCACATAATGTACAAATAACAAAGTCAAATGAGACACAGACATCTTTTAACCGTATAAAACCTGGGAACTATTCTCTGAAGGCGAAGCACTGCTACTTTGACGGAGTGATAACCGCATCACCGGAGACACGCCGTGGTGAGGAGCGGAGAGTTCGCTCGGTGTTTGGGTAACAGAGTCAGCAATTTATAAATAGTAAAAGCGTAGTTTACAGTCATGGGTTTTCGCTCTATTGTAAATAGCTGCGACAGTAAACAGGGGAGGTAATACCGTGTTTCACAGAATTCCAACTAAAAACGCTGACTGGATGAGGAAATGGTTAACTTACTTACTCTGGATATATTTATCCAAACACACCTAAATAGATTATCAAGGGACATTATGTTTGCTCGGTACATTTCAATGGACGACTATTTTGAAAAATGGAATTTGCCACACGGACCATAATGTGCTGAAGGATACGGCTATAGCACAGACAGGACAAGTGAATCACCTGCGGCTGAGGTAAGTGTTCCCTTATGTTTTTAGATGACCTACTGTAACTGTGCCATTAGCCAGAGCTAATGTAACGTTAGTGACACTATTATATGATTAGGGTATGAATATGTTTTTATCTTGATGCGGTGCGGACGCGCTTGGAAAAAAACGAGCGCGTTCACCGCGTTGAACTTGCACCCTGCGCGCAGCGCGCCTAGTAGCCTAAATTTGAAATAACCATGGAAATAACAAACTTGAGCGTGCAAAAGGGTACGATAGGCTGTGAGTTCATTGTGCAAAAACAATTTGTGCTATTACTTTCCCCTTATTCTATCCTATAGTAATGCAATACTGTATTATATAGGCTAATGTTGAATACATTTGGTTCAGCTAATAAATTGCATTTAAAATATATTGATTCCTGTAATAATAATTATTTATTCATGTGATATTTATAAATCTGGGTGCGTTTTTGGTTGGAAATCAATGAAACATGGTACTGTATTACCTGGTCTCCCCTGTTTATTGTCACAGCTCATACAATAAAGCAAACACCCATGATAAACTATGCTTTTCTATCTAACGCCAACACTGAGCGAACACTCTGCTCCTCGTCACGGTGCGTCTCAGGTGATTGTTATCACTCTGCCCAAGTAGCAGTGCTTCGCCTTCAGAAAATATAGTATTTATACGGTTAAAAGATGTCTGTGTCTCATATGGCCTTGATATTTGCACACTCTGTGACTATACAAACCACAACATGTAAATAGGAAAACGTTTGCGTTATTTTGTCACTCATTTGGATTAGTATGAAAGCTGCAACCATTCACATCCAGTCTTTGTGCTAAGCTAGGCTAGCGGTGGGTGCGTCAAACAGACTTATAGCACGCACGGAGATGAAAAAGGTATGTATGGACTTATCTAACTCTGGGGGGTAAGGTGAATAGGCTAAAGTCCCAAAAAGTTGGAGTGTTCCTTTAAAGGTATAGCGGAGGATGTTTACGTAAGGCCGTCGTACGTGCTCATCCCTATGTAGTTTTCACTTTCAGGTGTATTATGTCGGAGTTACGGTTTCAGCCATTCCTTTGAAAATGGCTGAGGGTCGAAAGAGAAAAAATGTATACGAAGTGTATGATAAGAAGAGAAAGGCCGCAGAATATAGAAACAAGACCAGAGTGATTTTGGATGAATATCACACGCTGGCGTGCGCTAAAAGCACAGGTTGGGCTTCTCACTGATGCCGCAGTCGCGAAGATTCTACTAGACAGGTAAAGTTTGTCATGCTATTTGGAGAAATCCATTTAAAATCACTAGTAAAAGTTAATGCAAGCTACTTAGCAATGCTAGCCCTGGCACAAGTCATGCACCGCATAGACACGGTAAACATCTCAATTTGTCTAAAGTAGCCTTTTGACCAAATGGTAAATGGTATCGCGCTGAAATACTCTAAAACCATGTGTGTTCATATTCTAAAACCTTGTGTGTTTATTATTACACAAATGCAACAAGCTACTTCTCCATTACATATGCAACTATAAAAATAAAGTATTAATACCTAAGTATTAACAATGACACATATTAGGTTAAGGACCAACGTAATAGCACTGCTTATTGCCATGTAACGTAATTGCGATTTGCAAAATAGTTTCCTCAGAACGTATTTTGTGTGATAAAGGGTTGTACATATTATGTCTTGAGTCCTCGGTCACTCAATCGATCAGTATAATAAGTAAATAAAACACGGAAGGGCATTAGACATTTTGTCTTTTTTATGAATGTTTTTTAGTTAGTTTATAATTTGCAACATAATTGTGTAAGGCGTAATAGGCGTTCCCTCTCGGGAGCAAGAGTGTTGTGTTTGTGCATGTGCATTTTTTAAAAAAAAATGGAGGGCGGGTCTTCTCTAAAATTCGGAAAGATCCTCCGCTATACCTTTAAAATGTACAAAAAAAATTCTTGTGGGGGAGCAGTCATTAAAAGTCAGTAAAACATAAGATTATCTTTAATTACAAGGGAAGGTTTACCTATAAAGACAATTCTGTTATTTCCAGAAAATATAAACAGAATTGGCAAGTCAAGTTTCAAAGCAGATTTACAGAGATAACAGGAAAATTATTCAATTATTCAATTATTCAAGGTTTTTTTTCGTCTGTGAAATTCGCAGCAGTGGCTTGGGTGATAAAATGGCTCAAGGCCATGGCTCCTCGTGTTCTCGTGCACCACAGCCGGCTAAACCTGCCATCTCTCCCGCTCACACCACCGCGACCGCACAGACAGCGACATTAGTGAATGACTTAGATTGCTTATTCTGTTGTCGATTTACTATAACGTATTATTTGAACTTTGATAATCTACCAAATGAAAATGTATATCGCAGAAGTATTTTCTTATTAGACGAAATGACCTTTTAGCAGTGTGCTCTGCCCAAGGCCACTTTATTTCACAACGATATATTTAATTTAAATTGTATTTTTTAATGATTACCACATTCGCTGCTATCTAAATCATGTTTGCGTCTCAGAGCTGATTCTACAAGCAGTGCTCCTCTCACGCGCCATTCACAGTTTAATGGCGCGTGAGATGCAGTTGATAAAATTACATCAAATATACATTTGACAACTGAAACTAACTCTGAGGAATCGCGGATTTCATATTTATATAAAAATAAACAAAATATATTATCTTACTCACTATTTCACCTTAGATCCAGCTACTGTGGTGTTCACTTAAGCGCTGCAAATCTTCTTTGATGTAAACTGCGTTAATTTGGCGCGAATGTGTGTGTAATTTGGCACCAATGTGTATACCTTGCAATAGGGCTGAACGATTAATTGCATTTGCGATAAAATCGCGATATGATGAAACGCGATTTTGTAATCGCAAGAGCTGCGATTACACTGGTCACTTGACACGCGAGAGAAAAGCAGTCTGCAAGATAAAGCATCAACTTGCCACGCTACGCGGTCTGGCGTCCAGAAAAGAACAGTTTATTGTGTTATTTATTCTCTCCTCTCCTCAACAATCCTGGATCGATTCAGAGAATTTCAGAATCGAGTATGAGCTTAGTTTTTAAACACAAATGCGTGATGACGCTGCGCGTGCTTTAGAAACAAACCGTGTTCTGAATCTGCTTGTTTCTATTTTCCCGCTCTCTCTCTTCCTCACTCACACACACGACACCGCTCGAACCTTCCAAAACATAGTAATGTTATTTTATAAAGGGCAGGGTTGACCCAAATTACAAGGACATTTGCGGGCTTCATTGAACAGGTTTTGCCGCTTTGCTTGATGTTATAACGTTACACTTGCAGTGCGCGTTCTCTCCCGCGGTTATTTTCTTTACAAATGCTTCACAGAGGCATTATTTATGTATTTTGGAATGCAGGTGGCTTATATTAACACCATGAAAATCACTGAGAAGGCTGCTTTCATTTTAAAATACTAACGCGTGCTTTGTGAAGAGCGCTCGTGCATGCGGCCGTGAGCGACTCATTGGTAAATGTACTTGCATGTCAAAATGCTTTTATGACGCGAAATTGATGTAAACACGGTCAGTTATATCTTAAACCAACAGGACAAACCACATTTACAATTTCAAAAGAGATATATGCATTAGTGTGAATGCAGCTATCGTATCTAAACTGAGGGGAAATCACTCCAGCTCTTGAATGAAAAACATTTACTTTTAAATACTGAGACCACTCTTTGTTTATTGCTTGTAATGTTTTTTTTTTTGTTTCTCTTTATTTACTAGCTTTTATATTTTGAAGCTATATTATTTTATATAGCCTATTTAAAATTCTTAACATGTAATTGGTTTAATTAAATGTTTTTTATATTTATTTTTTGAAGTATGTGTTTTTACACATGTAATTAAATACATATTTTAAGAGTTATTAAGATTAATTAATAAGAAAAAAAGTAGATGGGATCATGAGCTATCTAAAGATTCCCATCCCTACTGTACAATGATTTATTGCTTGTCTTTGTCGACTAATACAGAAGGTAAATAACTTTTTTTTTAAATCGCATATTAAATCGCAATCGCAATATTGGTTAAAAAAATCGCAATTAGATTATTTTCCAAAATCGTTCAGCCCTACCTTGCAATACCAATTCCCACCTACAAGGGGACTGTTTCGAGTATACACAGACACATCATGGTTGAGGACAGTGTTTGTAAAGGTTATAAAAGAGGTAGGGTGAAGAAATGAGTTGGCTGA